TTCGCTCCTGACAGGACATCATCTACGTAAAAGTATCGTAAGGTGATTTTGCTTGCAATAGGATACTTCGTTTCTTCAGATTTTGCCAATGTTTGTAAGGTCTTAATAGCTAGGTATGGTGCAGATGCTGTTCCATATGTGACAGTGGTTAGCTCGTATTCAATCATTCGGTGTCCGCTGTCAGATCGCCATAAAATTCTCTGGTAAGGTTGATCTTCTCGATGGATTTTTATCTGTCGATACATTTTTTCTATATCGGCTGTAAAAACTACTTGATGCTGCCTCCATCTTAACAGGATTTCAGATAGGTTCTGTTGCAGTCTTGGACCACTAAGCATCAAATCATTTAGGCTAACATTGGATGTTGATTTACTGGAAGCATCAAAAAACAACTCGTAGTTTTGTGGTTGTACTGTCCATTTTAAATACTGCTTGGTGTGGTATGTAGTATCTGCCTTCATGAAGATTTTGAAATGATACTTTTTTCATGTGCCCTAATTTCAAATATTCATCCATGAATGCATCGTATTGTTCTTTAAGGCAAGGTTCTCACGAAAACCGATTTTCCAGGTTTCTTAAACGGGCACCCGCTCTAGGTTTTGTTTGTCCTAAAACTTGCGTTCCCTGTTTGAAAGGAATTCTGACTATAAATCTTCCTTTTTCATCTCGATAGGTAGTCTCATCGTAAAATTTTTCGCAGATTTAGTCATCTTCTGATATATATTTATTTGTTTCTGGTAACTCTTCTAATTCTCAAAATTTCGTGAGTTGGCTATCTTCTTCGTGTCGGGAAATCATGCTGGTCACTTGAAGTGGAATGTGGTTTGACGATACTCCTCCAGATACCATCCATCCTAGTTCCGTATTTTGCTTAAGAAGCCCTTCTCTTGTTTTTTGAATGCCATTTAGAATAATATGCGTATATCCTCTCGCTCCAACTATAGCATCAATTGGACCTGGTTTCATATAGGTTGGATCTGCTAGGATTTCATTCGTGCACGAGTTGTCGACTTCTAATTGATATCGTGGAGTTGATTGGGTTAATTTTGGGAGTACCAACATTTTCACTTCAAGTGAAAAATTGCTCGGACAGCGTGGCTTGATGAAGAGATCTACTGCCGAGGAGCAAACTTGTGGGCTACCATCTCCTATGCCTGAAATTTCTGCTCTGAATTTCTGACGTGGGAGATTAAGACGCTGGGCTGCGTCTTCTGTTATAAACACAGATTGTGATCCTTGGTCAATGAGGACACGTAAATACTGGGTGGTGGATAGTTGCTACTTCTACCAATGCTGTGGCAAGCAGGACATTCTCTTCGTGGTCTTTTATATGATAGTTTGAGGTTTTTTGTCTTTGATCATTTCTCCTGAAGTTGTTGCGTGTTTAGCTATTTTCGTTTTGATTTGAGGTTTTTTGATCAGTTCTTCTTGATGTCTGATATCCTGAGCTGTTGAAGTTTCGTTGATTGTTTTCATTATGTAGGATTGTATGATGATGCTTCCTGCAGACATTGCAAGTTACACTGCTGCGACATCTAATATGTTTTTCGTGATTCAGACAGTTCACGCAGTGATATATCGCATGATCTTTCTCGCAAGATTGGCAAGCTGAGTTGTTTCTTCTATTTGGGCTTGTTGCTTCCAGAGATTGAAATCTTCTTTCAAGAAATTCCATGAATTGTTGGTAATCTTAAATTTTGTGTGGTTCCGTTATTGTTTGTTCATACATCTTGTTGGTTTCGGAATCCCATTTCCGACTGATTATTCTGATGATGATTGGACCCCATGACTGTGTGCTTACTCCTATATTTTCTAGCCCACGAGTACATTCTTTGATGATATCATGCAAGAGCTTCAATTTTTCAACGTTTCCGGAGGAAAGGTTTGGGAGGTCTAATAACTTGTCTATCAGTTTCGAGGCTAATAGTCGTTTGTTTTCATATCTATTCTGAAGCAAGTCCCATGCTGTCTCGTAGTTGTTTTCAGTGGTTGTCAGATGCTGAATGAATCTTGCAGCTTCTCCTCGAACATGTGTTTTGAGTAGTTGTATCTTATCTGCCTTGGAAAAATGTTGTCGTGGACTACTCGCAAAAAAACATCATGGAAAGAGCCCCAGTTCTCGTAGCCTCCGTGAAATGTTAGAATGGTTATTTGTGGTGACGCAAGATATCTTACAGGCCAGATTGATTGGGTCTGTGGTAGTTGCGGCTGACATGAAGCTTGTGACTCGACTGTTTCCGTTGATAATTTTTCCAACGTGTCTTCATACTTCATCTGATACTCATGAAACTTATCATCTCTGAAGTAGGCACTGGTGAATGATTTTTCATGAATTATTATCTCTTCGTGCAATTCTTGAATAGCTTCCCATTGGTTTACTAGCTTTTTCTGTTGTAATTCATACCTTATTCTTGATTTTGATTCAGTTAGATCTTGGTTGATTTGGTCGATTGTTCTATCCAATTCCTCACACTTAAGATTTTGTTTCTTCAAAATTAAGAGTTGTGGACTATTTTGTAATTCATCATTGATCGTTTCAAGGTACTTCTTGCAAGTCTCATACCTCTCTTTTATTTGTTGCAGGTATTTTTTAGTAAAGTAGGCGTAATTTGGTTCATTGAACTTATTTAGTTCATGATCATTTTCTTGAACTGCATCCCATAGTTCTTCTAATGCTCCAAGTTTTTGTTCTAGATACTGTTCAGTTTTTCTTGATTGGCCATCTTTTTTACAGTTGGTGTAAAGCTGCATGATCTTTTTGCCTAGTTCTTCTTGCTGAGCAGCACGTAAGTTCATTTCTTCCATCATTGTTCTGTTGATCTTGCATTGGGCTTAGTTGGACCTCTGGAACCGCTATTGGTGGAACTTCTGGGAATGTGGTTGACCGCTGTTGGGTCTGGTTGAACTTCTGAGACCGCTGTTGGTGGGACTTCTGGGACTCTGCTTGATGGACCTGTGGATCGCTATTGGTGGGACCTCTAGGACTCTGGTTGATGGCTGCTTGGTTTGGTTGGAAATCTGGGACCGCTATTGGTGGGACCTCTGGGACTCTGGCAGATGGACCTGTGGATCGCTACTGATGGGATCTCTAGGACTCTGGTTGATGGCTGCTTGGTTTGGTTGGACCTCTGGGCCCGCTGTTGGTGGGACCTCTGGGACTCTGGCAGATGGACCTGTGGATCGCTACTGGTGGGATCTCTAGGACTCTGGTTGATGGCTGCTTGATTCGGTTGGACCTCTGGGCCCGCTGTTGGTGGGACCTCTGGGACTCTGGCTGATGGACCTGTGGATCGCTACTGTTGGGACCTCTAGGACTCTGGTTGATGGACCTCTGGATCGCTACTGGTGGGACCTCTAGGACTCTGGTTGATGGCTGCTTGGTTTGGTTGGACCTCTGGGCCCGCTATTGGTGGGACCTCTGGGACTCTGGCAGATGGACCTGTGGATCGCTACTGATGGGAGCTCTAGGACTCTGGTTGGTGGCTGCTTGGTTTGGTTGGACCTCTGGGCCCGCTGTTGGTGGGACCTCTGGGACTCTGGCAGATGGACCTGTGGATCGCTACTGGTGGGATCTCTAGGACTCTGGTTGATGGCTGCTTGGTTCGGTTGGACCTCTGTGCCCGCTGTTGGTGGGACCTCTGGGACTCTGGCTGATGGACCTGAGGATCGCTACTGGTGGGACCTCTAGGACTCTGGTTGATGGCTGCTTGGTTCGGTTGGACCTCTGGGCCCGCTGTTGGTGGAACCTCTGAGACTCTGGCTGATGGACCTGAGGATCGCTACTAGTGGAACCTCTAGAACTCTGGTTGCCTGCTGTTGCAGGCTACTGATTCTTGACCGTTATAACTTTTTGCTCGAAGGACCATGTACGCTCCAGGTGACTATAGTTCTCTGGATGGTATTTTCTGCTTGATCCTGATGGTTTAGGATAGAAGAGCAGAAGGGCCTTGGTACCAGACAGGACTTAAAGTCACGGCACTTGCACAAGGGCGTAAGATAGGTAAGTTACAACCAGACTAAAGCACTTGTAAGTTGGAAAGAAGACCCTAGCCAGACAAAGCACTTGCTATAAGGCTTAAATTAAACCTGTAACCAGACAAAGCACTTGCTACGGGTTTGAAGAAGGGCCTAATGTAACCAGACAGAGCACCTGCTACAATAAGGCTAAAGCAAAGTAATTGTTAGAGCGCAGTCTCACGACTCTACTAGCGTTGCTAGGCCAATGGTGACTTGGGCACAATTTAAGTAAGAGAAACAACAATAAGTTTGAATCTCATTTTATTAATGAAATTGATCACCTTTTATATACAACTAGCATTACCCGTCACGGCTTCGCCCGCGATTTTTCAACTTATTAGGCTGTGTAGGTATTATCTATGGTATGTGTCTATGAAAAATGTTGTGTTTGACATTGCTTTTGCAGTATGCTTTGTTTTCGATGACGACAAACCATCGATTACTTCTGGGGATGCCTCTTGATATTACCCTACTCAGTTCAGATAATGACACCTTCCAGTCATAATCTGCGTGTTCGTATAATCGTCTTCAATGGCCTGGTTGATTATATTATTATTGTTTACAATTTATATTAAATGCTGATGCCGTGCAGTTGGTGAGGTGACTGATTGACATGGTTTCGGACACTCTGCTGACGCTGAGCTACTTACTGAACGGATTCCCAGGAAACCATATTACACTTAATGCACCCACGAGGATTTTCTTATGTCTAATAATTATTGATGATTAGACAGCTAAGTATATGTATAAAAAAGAAATCGGGAAAAATCGATTTTTTCGAAATATCTTCGGAGATAGTCGGATTTTTATAGATTTCAAAACAAGACGTTGTAGGCTTCAGAAGGGCCCAACTTTTTTCTAATTTAATCATCTTTGTATCTCTTCCGGTTTACGAGATCCCTGTAGAGTGCATTCTTATATGGGACACCCTGTATATAATAGAATCGTGAAGTTTTTCTATAAATTGAATAGAAATATATTGTTTAAATATTGCGCAAAATGGATGCACATTGCACAACTGAAATGAAAAATTTAATTTGCTTAATTCATGTTAAGACTTCTTTGTATACCACATTAGTAGTCCTTCGATCTGGTGCTAAAATAACCAAGCTTGATGGAGTACTCACTCGCGAGCAAGCAACGTAAAATTGGCTATGGGAAAAACAATTTTCCCGTAGATCAATTCCGGCTACTTTCAATGACTGCCCTTGAGATTTATTGATAGTCATAGCAAAACAAACTTTTATTGGAAATTGTCTTCTTTTAAACTCAAAAGGATAGTCTGACGGTATTAGTGGTATGCGGGGTATAAAAACTGATTCTCCTCTGGCACATCCGGTTATTACTGTAGCCTCAATTATGTTTTTCTGAAGAGCAGTGACTCGTAGTCTCGTACCATTACACAACTTAGGAGGATTTAGATTCCGTAATAACATTATCGGTGTTCCAATTTTCAAAATAAGTTGATGTGCTGGAAAACCTGGAGGATTAAGGGTGTTGAGAAACTCTGATGGATGATGAACAGCATTATCATCTTGTAGCACTGAATCAACAGATTTGAAATCTATAGATTCACCATTGAAAGAATTTAACAATATATGATTGATTTCAGCTGCGGTGTCATTTTTAGGGATTAATATGGCTCTTTCACACAGCCAGTCCATTGATTTTTTGGTAATATTATAACGTACTTATTTTGGCATTTGCCTAATTATACTGTTACGGCTAGTCAGCTTCAGTTCGGAGGCCATGGGTCTATGGGTTCCTTGTATACATCTTACCTTTGGGCGCCACCAAGTTAATTATGACTTAACTAGGAAGATAACTTAATGATGTTATAAACAAAACCTGTGCAATTGGAGAGCTTAACAATAAAACAACTAATTAGGTACAATAATGTATCTGGCTTTCTTTATTAAAAAATAATAACAATAATAAATAGGGATAGCCAGGAAGTTATTAAAAAGGTGTTTAGGATTAGGCTTGTACCTAATTCGTAAATATTTGAATAAATAAAAAAATGTATGTAAATAATGAATATATGAATTTAAAATAAACAGTTTTAACTGTTTATTAACACATGTGAAAGATTAAAAGAACAGTATGGGTTACACTTTACCAACAGGCAAATTAAACACAGAAAGGTGAAAGTTATTCTTTGGGCAACCTCAGGGTAAAATTCTAGAATTTTATTTAAGGGGCACGTAATTCGGTGTCAGATGATTTTTATATGATTTGCCTAAATAGTAAAAGTGCAACTTACATGTATACAAGTGAAATGTATGTGAAAATCCAGAAATTTCCAAAGTGAGGTTATCTACAGGTTTGGTCTCACTATACCCAGCAAACACACTACATACTTAAAACGTCCATTTTATGTCATATTTACGTCCGTACATCATATGACCTATTCAGAACGTACATTAAACGTACACTTTTGTACCTTTTATGTAGGTACATATTAAACATCCATATTACGTACAGTTACGTCCACCATTTTGGTTTTATGTTTAAAGTGTAAAATACAAACAGATCTGTAGGAGTTTAAATTTGAATAAAGTCTGTTTTTTTTAAAGATAAAAGTCAAAATGACATTATGTTGTCAATACAATGTGAAATTGTCAATGCTTTCAAATTTTTTATGTAGAAAAGGCTTGTGTTGCCAACATGGTTACTAAATTTTTGATTTGGGGAATTATATTAAAAAAAAAACAGACTTTCCTTGAATTTCGCTCTCATTTATGGTCATTTTGAAATTTGATAAATGATGACGTAGATGTTAGGGTAGTTAGCGAAAGAGAGGTGTAATATCCTTGTTCCGAGATTGAGGTTATATCGTTATGTCTTTATGTCTTATGTGAGGTGGCGAACGACACGTTAGGTTAGAAGCCTGTTAGAAATTTTGTGCAAAAGTTATGTGAAAATTATTGAATAAAGAAAATACAGCAACAATTTAGTTAATTAGACCCATCCCTACAAATTCAGAAGTGAGATAAGCAAAAAAGTTTATGTGTTATTGTGATGTTGATGGATGTTTCCAGAACAGGAGGTTAAAAATTATTTCTACTGTAGACCTTGTGTGTAGACCTGCTCTAAGGTTGTTATAAACAGAATATTCCCAATTTTAATAATAAATTAAGTTCAGTCAGTTCAGTGAAACAGTGTTGTGCTAATTAGTTTACCAGAGTCCCAACCCAATCAATCCTTAACAGAATGTTGTTGCAGTTCTTTTAGGTTATGCTTTATTTATGTAGGTATAGTTGCAATACTTTTGAATTAATGTTTTTCTTTTGTTGTTATTCCAGGTTTAGTAAGCTAATAGCGAATAAATAATAAACGATTTGAGTAAAAAAATCCTTTTTTATTTGGTTTGCAATATGTACTTAATTAGGTCTTCAAGAAGTATTATGGACGTTCTTTATGGCTCTAAGTTGTACGTCTTTAAGACGTATTATGGAGTTGACATACGACTTGCCCATTACGTCTTCAAGACGTACTTGGCTCTAAAATCGACGTCATGAACGTACAGTATGTCATAACGTTACACCTTATGTACCATCGTCACCAAAAGTAACTGGGACAGCATCACATTAGCTCTTGTCCTATTATATGAATTTTATTGTCAAATATTTGTCAAACTATGAATATAATGCATTGAAATGAATGACAGTAGAATTAGTCCAGGAAATTATTAGGCATTATTTGTGTCCCAGATACTTTTGGTGACGATGGTACGTCTTTGGAATGTAATTGTGTTTGTTGGGTAGATAGACTAAGGTGTGGTAAGTGAGTTCTATATGAGCTCTATCCATGTTGTATCAATTATACGTAGAACTCCACATGGTTCTGTCAGAGTGGTACCAAGAGAGTTGCTGAAGAATGGCTACCAAAGCCCCAACTGAGAGCAATCTAGATCAAGTCTAGAATCTCTCTAAATACAGCCCAGGAGCTGTCTAGGTATATCCTAGAATCCTCTAACTACAGTCTAAGATTGTCCAGCCATAGCCCAGGATTGTCCAACTATAGCCTAAGACTGTCTAGCTACAGCCTAGCACTAGGACTCTATAACGATGTTCGTATAAAAAACAGATCGAGCCTCAAACATTAGAAATAATCTTACCTCTAAGTGAGGGATGCTCTAAGCCAAAGGTGAAGTCTTAAACTTCCAAATGCTGCTTGGAACAGTCCTATTGAAGAAACGAAACACGTGGTTGTAGGTTATTAATCCTGATGAAAATCTCAAAACTTACCGAAACAGAATCTAAAATGACCAAGGGACGACTCTAGACAATTATCAACAAGAAATTAGTCTAAAACTTTGTTACGTTAAAATTTTGCCTTAACGTAATTGAGGATTTCGAATAAATTCAGTAATTAATTCAGTTATTTGTGAGAATATTTATAAAGCTGTATACCTGAGGTTTAATATTTTTCAGTGATTGATAGGTTGCTCATTGAATTTTGCTAGATTTTTGCCTTTTGGTTGGATGCAAAACAATATCTGGTTGTTGATTAAAGGTATATTTTTCAAGGTAATAATGAGTGAATTCTTTGTATTTAGAGGACAGGGTAGTTTCAGGATAATAAAGCCCTACTGGTAGGATAGGAATTCACTTTATTTAGCTTTCGAAAGTTTTCTAAAAGGCCCTAAATGTCGGTGAAAAGGTTTGTTTACTTTCAAATAAATATCAATTGTCAACACTTACGGATCTCGTATTTTCCTTTATTAAAATTTCTGCAACAACACAAATCACTTTAGTACACTCTAAATCGATTTTCCACCCTTATTTCCTTCACTTTTTCCCATTTTCAAATGTTTATTTTTCTCAAAAATATAGTGGGGTTATAAGCCACTTGTGGATTCGTGTTGGGCAGCACTGATGCCGACGTTCTTGACCGCTGTGGGTAATATAGAGTCATTGTAACGGTGATCCCTATACAGTCACTGGTCATTTTGATGGTTTTTAGACTGAAGACTGGGTAGGTGCTGATTAATAACTTGTATAAGTGATTAATTAGTGTTAATTGATGTTAGGGAAGAGAATTTGATAACAACTTGGAGTTTTGTGGGTCATCATTGTGGTTCGGGGTGTTCTGTTTCAAGCTGATTGTGTTCCGATTCAAACTGGGTGTTCCGTCTTCCTGGTCGAGATCGGAAATCTGGCACCAGAGGACATCTTAAAGAAAAAAACTGGAATTCTAGAAAAATTTTCATATTGAAGCCTACCTAATAAATCGCTGAAAAGGGATCGTTCTCTTTTAAATTCGCACGTTGAGCAAACAACAAGTTCTTGGCAGATTCTACCAGCGGTCCTCTCGGCAACGTTCCTTGGGAACATCCACCTTTTTGTGGGATTTTGAAGACGCTGGGATTTAGTGGTTGCTGGCTTAATTGGTTTTGGGGTGAAAGCTTTGGATTTGGTCGTACCCGTATTTGTAAGCCAACCACACAGAATTTTCTGGAAACGAAATCTACGCCAATTTGTTGGTTTGTCGTGTGAAGCACTAGAGCACATTTGTTCAACTAGCCCAAATTGTAACCAGGTAATTTTAAACGTTTTTACTATTCTCAAATTTACCTTTTCGTTATCAATATTTAGATTAGCTTATCTGAATTTTTGTAAATATTTGGGATCCTATAAAAAAAAAAGAGCAATTTGACCTCCACGAGGCCATGTGCAGACTCATTAATCGTTTAAGGGGCATTAATGGGCTTATTAATTAAGGGGTTTTTGTTTAAAATAATCTACAGGTTTCGGGGGATTTTGCTATTTAATTCCCATCATTTATATACTATTTGAGGGTTGGGATTTTTCATTTTTTTTATAAGTATGAAGGAGTTCTAAGACTTTTGTACTCTTTCAGGGTTTTTTTGTTAGGCTGTTAGCGAGGCCTTTAGAATCTTTACCAGTGGGTTTTTCCTCTCTGACGGTTTATTAGTCTCGAAGTTGAGGTGTCAAGAGTACCCACAACACTGAATTGAGACCGAAATTCGCGTTGTAAGAAGGGAGTCAATAGAAGTTGATGGGGTCTGTTATGCAGGTTGTAAGGCTGTCAGGAGACAGTTATAGAAATGGGTGTTTAGACTGCAGGGAGGACCAAAAGGGGTGATGTACCCATTGATTTATAACATTTCTTAAATTATTTTATTATTATTATTGATGGTATTTCTGATACTTAGTTGGTATAGTTCCAAGGTTGTTTTACTGCCTTAATTATTACAATGGGTGTACAGTACCAATGATTTTTAATGTACTATATTTAAGGTGACCTTTTTGTACAAACCCGCCCCGGTATACCATGGTATAAGCGTGCACAGGTTTTAATTACTCTTATTAACATCTTTAATAACTATTTGTTCTCTTTTACTCTCATGGAACTAAGGTAGTCAAAACATTCATTTTATTGGTAAATCTTAAAGTTATTGCAGTGTCTTAAATAAGGCCACATTGGTCCTGACTACATTTTGGTTATTATTACATTTACTATTAATAATAATAGATATTGTGGTATTTTTCATATTGCCTTATATTGGCCTTTGCAGGTTTGAACATATACCCCCCATTTTATTAAATAGATTTTTAATAATTGTTTTAGATTTGACTCTTATTTTTTTTTTTCCTTACTGACATCAACCAAACCAAGGCAAAGTTGTTTTATTTTGAAGGATAGGTACATTGGGTAGGTACATTTTTATAGGAATTTTGGAGATCAGGGACTTTCTGATTTAAGTCCGCGGATTGTATTTTATAAATCAGTGGCGCCCTATTAAGCTAACTTTTATTATTGAACCTACTCCCACACCACTGAGTAGCCGCGAGCACTTTGTTGCGCTGGCCGCATTTCTTAAGAGTGACTTACTGTACCTAGGCCTATTGTGGTTTATTAATTTAAATTTAGTATTCAAACACTTTAAGGGTAATTTTACGCGCAACAACTTGAGCTCCCTGGCACAAAATTCCAAAAAGTCTCGCCCCAAAAAAAATAATTCAGGGCCGAGGCCCGAGACCGGACGACTACTCAGCATGAGGTCGCAGATCAAAAAGGGGCTGATTCTTCATTTAGATTTCGGAAGAAGGCTTTATCTGTCAAACTTCTAATTTTGACATTGAAGAAAATTATAGAAAAAGACGTGTTCAGTTTCACCCCAAAAGTACGAACTGAGAATGGGTTGTGTAAAAAATTATTGGTGAATGTTGAAAAATGCCTATAGAACAATATCAAAAGGTAGAATAGGTCTAAAGAAAACGCCTAGACAAAACAGCTGTTCAATGACATGATGGAAATGAAAAATCAAAGATTAAACAACAATTATTATCATAACCTCAGATTATTGATTGGATTTGCAAACAGAGATGATGATGGTACTACCTCCTTTTCCTAAGATTCTAATCAATAACAGCGGGCCCTGCCGTACTGACTGAATCTGGCCTAGATCAATTAACCACAATAGCAAACCTGAACCAAAAAAACTTCTAGTAGAAGGCAGTACTCAAGGTAACAAAATCTGGGCACAGAAAAGATAGTTGTTTCTTCATTTATTTCTTTATAGTTCTATACGGAACCATTTCGACCAGAGCAAAACAAGGTAGCATATTAGCCAAGAAATTGAAAACGTTACAATATTGTGAATGTCAGGGTAGATATCGGCTATAAGGTCTTTTAATGAAGTGACTACCTTACCTAAACCTGTAGGTATAGTAATCTTGCCTTCTGATTCAATGCAGTTTCCATCTCCAATTTTCAACAGTATTTCCGAAAAAATGTCTGCGGAAATATCGCCTTTTAGGTGTACTCGCATGTTTTTAGTAAGGGAGAGTTTAGTTGTTTTAGGCCAAAGATAAGATGCTTTGATACATGCTTTGACCTCATTTGCTCGCGTTCCTCTGGGTACAACAGGCAAAGTTTGACGAAAATCACCAGCCAAAAGCGCCGTTACTCCTCCCATCAAATCACTTGAATTTCGAAGGTCCTTAAGTGAGTTATTGAGAGCTTCAAAACCACTTTTATGCGACATTGGACTCTTATCCCAAACAATGAGCTTGCATTCTTGTAGAACTTTAGCCATATTACTTTGTTTCGAGATGTAACACATAGGGGTCTCTACATGATTGAGATTGAGAGGTAATTTAAAGGCTGCATACGCCGTTTTCCCTCCTTCTAACAGTGTTGCCGCAATGCCTGAAGATGCAGCTGCCACAGCGATTCCTTCCAATCTTACTTTTGCCAAAAGACAGTTGATGAGAAAAGTTCTGCCGGTTCCACCTGGAGCATCTAAAAAAAAACATTTTTCCAGAACTCGATCGTACGCTATTAATGACCTCTTGGTAGACCATACGTTGCTCGTCCGTTAATGAAGCTTCGTCGATAGAAACAGTTTCTCGCAGCTTATCTAGGTTGTAATTAGTCTCTGCCATGTACTCACGATTTTGTACAACGTCTCCAGATCTATTTGGCCGTGGCAAACCATATTCTTGTAAGTTTTTACCACCAAGGGATAGCACAGTATTTTCTATCATGACCAAGCATCTATTATAGATCTCGTTCATTGCTGGTTGCACACCAAAATCCAAATGTCTACTCATCTGATATTTGACATCTTCAGCCAAACTATCTTTATATTTTTCCCAGAGGCCGATTGCATAGCTAGATGACAAAAGATTAACATAATTGAGAAAAGCTCTCGTAATTTGAAAGGAGACTGACTCATGATGATCGAATGCCCTATGCAAACACGCAAACACACGAACCGTTACAAGTTACTGTCTATATTAGGTAGGTACTCTGAGGCCCAGTTTCACAATCGGTGGTAACCAGCGCTGGTCAGTCAACTAGGGGTCAGGGGTTAACTGGGACTTCGCTCATTAACCTGTTTCACACTAAACAAACAATCGTTGGTTGAATGACTAGTGGCTGAATTTTATTTGGCAAAGGTTGGTACTTGATTATTTGACAAAATTTTAAAAACCACCTTGAAAAATAAAAAAAGGCCCCTTTAAACTTCACTATCACGTCACTTTTTGTGATTTGTCATTAATAATTATATTAATTTTTGTCAGTGGCAGTAATTCCACAGATACCTATTCAATTCAATATGGGGTTTTGTGTCGTGTTTCCTGTTCAAATTTAAATCATGAAGTCAAGTGAGAAAAGGTCTGCGAATTTTTCAAAGGATGAAGCGTATTTATTAGTGTCTTTCGTGCAAAAGTATAAGTTCATTATAGAATATGTAAAAAAAGCAGCGCATCGACGTGGAAAAAAAGAAGAAAATGCTTGGAGAAGAGTGGGAGCAGATTTTAATTCCAATTGTATCACTAACAGAAAAAGAAATGCAAAAGTTTTCATTCAATAATTTTACCTTTTCAAACTTGACACTTTTGAACCATAGATAAGGGATACAAAACTCTCTCAAACCTATAATATAGATAGGCAAGTCAATACAAACATTTTGTTCCTGATTACAGCGCCCTCTCGCGTGTGTAGTCAGCAACTCGAGAGCGCGGGAAGCCCTCTTTTTCAAATTTAATTTTTTTCCTTTAGGATCGGTTTCAGGATCATTTTTTATTGCCACTAGCACTAAATAATTTAATTTGTTTCTAGTGGAAATAAAATTATGATAAACAGTCTCTTGATCACATACCGAACAGTAACATACTAATTAATCCATGTATTAAATACAAAAATAACAATTTTGAATTATTTTATTAACTATACAGTATATCAATACAATCAATAATAGTTACCTACAATCAATAAGATTTTTGGATTGTGAACGTTTTGCAGGCATAAAATAAACACCAAAATCGAAAGAAAAGTTACAGTGGTAAAATTACAGGAGGTAAAATCCCGATTTCGGTATAATGTGGGGATTGAAACATACCTGCTCATCACTTTTGGGAATTCGATGCATTTTTACTCTGTTCCCTCGGGTTTCACACATTGCCACACAACAAGAAAATAGTATATTGTTGTATTAGGAGTAGAAGCTTTACTTTTTTGTGCTGAAGCGGTAGGTTTGCGAGCCTCACTACGTTCGGCTCGCAATACTGCTGAAGCACAAAAAAGTGCTTCTACTCCGTATGCAACACGCTATTTTTTCTCCAAACGAATGGGGTAAGCTCGGGGGCAAGTGAATGGTTGAGCGGCAGTAAAAGTACGAGCGGCACTAAAAGTACTTCTACTGCCGCTCCAGCGGCACTAAAAGTACTTTTGCTGCCGCTGGGGTTGCCAAGCAGCATAGAAATTAAATTTCTACCACCTCGACAGGTGTTAACCCGCTGGATTTGCATAGCAGCATAGAAATCAAATTTCTGACATCTTGACAGGAGTTAACAAAGTGACGTTTTTCTGACGTTTGGAGAAAAAACCATTTTGCTTTGAACGGAGAAAATTTTCAATCACTGATTCAAATTATTGAATAAAAATGGAATATGTCAAAATTTGTCAAAATGATGAAAAAGTAAAAGTGGAGCGACGCTGCCATATGTCAAAAGCATGGGATATTTGTTTTGGAAAAGAAATGTAATTTCAAATCGTATTATTGGCAATTATATGTTAGCGAGGTACACGACTTTTTTTTCCATTGTTGGAAGCTTTCTAAAACAAATAAACAATAATCTGTACTTTTTATGTATAAATCTGACAATAGCATTGGACGACAGCGCCTCTGCCGTCTGTAGTCGCAAGCTTTTAGCGGAACAAATTGCGCCATAAGAGTTGCACATGCATGCTTTTGAACTGCCCTAAAAAACGAAGCATTTCAGCTAACTCATAGTTAACTCATACGCATCCTTGGGTTAATTCAACTTCTGGTTAACTAAAGGTGTCACGTTGAACCGTCAATTGTTAAATGCTGTTTTCTGTTTTCGTTTTAACCAGTAGTTATCTCATAACTAGTAGTTTACTACACTTTGTGAAACTGGGCCTAACCCTGCTGGTAAACCACAGTGAACTAAAAATTAAATTACAAAGAAGGTATAATCTATATACCTACCTATTTTATATAATTTAGTTAAAAACTTGTTGGAATTGTTACGGTGTGGGCAAAAACTCTTATCAAGTATGACTATTTTCTTTCAATTTTAAATTCGAACTTTTTTGATTCAATTCTGTCGGCCACGAGTTTTTGATAAGTATGATTTTTTATAAATGAAGTTCGAAAGTTACTAGTAACTTCTGATTTTCATCCCTACAAAATTGAAAATATATGAAGGTACACGTTTGTTCTTAACATGGCAACATTGCAATGACTGGAATATTATAATAGTTTTTGCTATGTCATTTTAGATAATGAAATACATATGTTTTATGGAACTGCATTATATAACACGTTATAAATCAAATATGTTTTATAAATAATAAATTTGTTTATTAAACACTTTCTTGGCGATAAAAATGATTTATTAGTCGACGCCATGTTTTCACGTTTAATTTCACTTCATCCTATGTCGGCCATTTTATCGTATCCAAAATAAATCAAACCAAATAATACAATTTTGAAAATTGTCGTTGCTATAGGAATCAAATCAGTTCACAATAACATAGAACATGACATAATGTCGATTTTCAACTTCACGGATGATTATTGGAGACTTTCGTGAAATTTAAATATTTTCTGTAACTGTAAAACTTTGTTAAAATTGAAGCGCGTTAAAATTATCTCCAAAAAATAACCCCCAATTGATCAGTAAAATTTGCTTCGCAGTAAAATTTGAGTGGTCGACGTTCTTTAGGTAGGCTATATATTTTTCCTGATTTACCTATGCATCCCTAGCAACATGTCGCCATATTCGTTATCCATGAGAGCAGAGAAGGTTGGACAACCATTAAATATCAGTTTTGTATTCGGCATTATGAAAATACGATAAAATATTTTTTTCTCCAAACATCAAAAAAACGTTACTTTGTTAACCCCTGAGATGACAGAAATTTGATTTCTATGCTGCTAGGCAAATCCAGCGGGCTAACATCTGTCAAGGTGGTAGCAATTTAATTTCTATGCTGCTTGGCAACCCCAGCGGCAGCAAAAGTACTTTTAGTGCCGCTCGTACTTTTACTGCCGCTCAACCATCCACTTGCCTCCGAGCTTACCCCATTCGTTTGGAGAAAAAATAGCGTGTTGCATATGGAGTGGAAGCACTTTTTTGTGCTTCAGCAGTAATGCAAGCCTCACTACGTTCGGCTCGCAAACCTACTGCTTCAGCACAAAAAAGTAAAGCTTCTACTCCTAATATAACAATATACTATTATTCATGATGATTATGAAACCGAATTGTAGACAGTCACAGTAAAATTATTTTATTCACTACAAAAATGCTATTATTAGAACTGTTTTAAGTATGCTATAAAACATTATTTTATAAATCTTTTATTAGTAATTTCAACTACAGCTACAAAATTTCGAAATAATATTTATAAAGCTGTTTTATGCTAAGATTCACAAAAGACACAATTGCTATATAGGTGAATTTATCTCCTAACTTATAAATCAATCAATCAATCATTTATTTATGTCAACATCACAAAGCGATTTACACACGTCAAATCAAAATATCAAAATATAAATCTAATACATAGGTACCTAAATACATTATAACAAGTTACAAGATACATTTCAAAAACTATAACTATGACAAAACATTATTAAAATCAAATTTTAAAAATTCTGCAAATGAATAGAAACAATGACATATTAAAATTTGCTTCATTTTACTTTTAAAGTCCTTGATATCCAAATCCTTAACACTATTTGGTAAACAATTGAAAAATTGTATAGCCCAGTATCCTGGCCCACTCTGACACCTTCCCAAACGCCAATAGACAGTCGCAATATCCTCCCTGTGCCTTGTTCGATAATCATGAAGGTCCTGATGGGTTGTGAAAAGATGTCTGTTTTTTTTGACATAAAGGACACATTCCAGTATAAAAACACATGGAAGCGTCAAAATCTGTAGACTTTTGAAAGAAGCTCTGCAATCGTCCCGAAATCTCGGACCCCCCAAAACCCTAATAGCCTTTCTCTGTAGGCCAAACATGCGCTGTGCACCTGATACGTGTCCCCAAACAAGGACACCATATGTAAGATGGGAGTGGAAAACCGAAAAATATGCCGTTTTTAAAGTTGGAAGAGACACATTTTTAGAAAGAGAACGCAGCAAGTATAGGTTCTTTCTCAATCTGACTGAAGTATTCTCAATATGAACATCGAACCGGAGTCGAGGATCCACATACACGCTCAAAAACTTCACATCAGCAGCATCATTAGAGTCAAAATTTGAAAGGTCTCTCATACAGAAAACCACCCTATTTGTCTTATCTGTGTTTAGGAGAAGCCTATTTGTTCTGAACCATTGATCAGCCGCCCCCTGCGCCGCTACAGCACCCTCCAAGACGCTATGTAAACAGTCTGCTGACACAGACACTGTGGTGTCGTCGGCAAAGAGAGTATCCCGTGCTCCCAAATCCGTCCCAAATCATTTATATAAATAAGAAATAGTATAGGGCCCAAAATGGAACCCTGAGGCACTCCAATCGTCATATCTCTCTCTTCGCCGACGCCACACCCGCACTCCTAACCACTTGTCTCCTCCCCCGCAAGTACGATTTCAAGAGTTGAACACTCTTGTCAGAAAAACCATAGGCCCGAAGCTTGCGCAAGAGAATCCCATGATCGACGCAGTCGAAAGCCTTACTCAGGTCACAGAATAGCACGGCACTGTATTGGTTTGAGTGGAAGGACTGAAGTATATCGGAAATTAGGTTGAGAACACCCCCCAAAAAGAGAATTATCCTTAAAAAAATCTGTAATTTGCTTTGCCATACATTTCTCCAGGATCTTAGAGACGATCGGCAGCAAAGAAATTGGTCGAAAACTACCAGGGTTACTAGGATCGCCTTTTTTAAACAGTGGTATGACGACTGCATCCTTTAAGACCTGCGGAAAGACAGAAGCACTCAAAGCCTGATTAATTAATTTAGTGAGTGGCTTTAAAATAATGTTTTTCACGGTTTTTATGACTTTCACATTTAAACCGTAGATATCACAGCTATTTTTATTTTTTAAGTCTGATATTATGTCACGAACGTCATTATAAGTAACAGGAGAAAAGCAGAAAGCAGAGTCTCCGTCCGAACATTCGCAACTGGATCAATCCCAGTGTCAGGAATATTCCTCACCAGGTCAGAAGCAATACTCAGAAAGTAGTCATTGAAATCTTCTGGTGTTATGTTATCAGGTTCAGTTCGCACCATGCCCTGATTCCTGTGTTTATTAATCAGCTGCCACATGCATTTAGGAGGGTTACCTGAGGAGCGGATTAAGTTGTCGTTGAACTGGACTTTAGCTTTAATAATGGCTTTTTTATAGAGGTTATCAATAAAAAAAAATATATTTTTTTTTATTGATAAGCCATTTCACTTATTTAAAGTACTCCTGAGCGTGTTTAAATCCAACATTCAAAAACGCGCGTGTTTTACAGTCACCAATGACAACATCAACAACCAACAACCCGAGAAAGGTTTAAATGTCAACTTTTTAATAATTGATTTGTCAGGAGTAGGTTAGGTACTTGTAGATAACGTCAAATAAAATGTAACAAGTGTCAAGCACGAATGTAGCATTCTACAATTATTAATATATTTTATACTTTAATATACTATTATAGGACTTTCTTTGAGAAATTTTTTATTCTCTCTGCATTATCCCCGTTGTTCTTAAATGTGTTAAGTTGTGTGCCGTTAAAGTCATACTGCTTATCAATTTATCGATGATTTTTGTGTTTTGCTTCCAAGCTTGCTGCGTCGTGTCCACCTCCGCCAGATAATAAAGGTACCCGAAAGGTTATCAGAAGGTGAATAAACCGAGCCTTAGTTGTTCAAATTTAAAACTGTGCCATTGTTGATTTCCTATTATTAGAAACTATGTTTTTTTGTTACATTTGTAGTGTACCCATTGACACATTCTAGTCATGATGTGAACTATAGGAAATTTGTGCTTCTTTTTCCTTAGATATTTTTTTGTTGGAAATAATGAGAGCTAGAATAAGTATATTTCAGTGTATTTTTTTCTAGCCGATTATTCTATGTATATTAATTTGTTGCATTTGTTATTATTTTACACCTATTATTATTATTTATTTAGTAAGTTTTTTTTTTTGGTTTAGTTTTTCGAAACTAAGCATTTTAGTCATGATCATGATGTGTAAGTATTTTGCATTCCTTATGGATATTATTATGAATTGATAACTTATTTTTTGTTGCATTTGGTTCAAGTTGCAGATATTGTCACATTCTAGAACATTTCCAGCTAAGTTTACTAAAAGATTGAGATTCATTTCATCTAGGGTTTCCATAAAGGTTTTTCGGAATCCAGGACCTAGGAGTCAAGAAATCCGGACAAAATCCGGATTTCGTCGATACATTTTTTATAAAGGATGAATTTTGTTTATTTTTTGCAAAAAAAAAAATTACAGAAATTAATAGATATGCTTTGAGCATTTATTCCGTTATACTGAAGACATAATGACAAATACAAGGTACCAATGACAAGAGACAAAAATATAATAACACTTGTGTATCAAAATCAGGGATGATACACACTACTACTACAGGATGGCCTATCCTCATAAGGCTTGTGTTTAATAAATCCCCCCCTACCTCTCCAAGCCAAACAATTAGTTGTGACGTTAGCAGCATGGCGTTTCTCGCCTTGACGTAGGCTGTTTCTGTTTAAATAGCTGACGACTTAGAGTGTGTATTCTCCTATTTCTCCGTGTATCAAAATGGCGTCCGAATAATTGGATACAGGATACAATTTACTTGCCACCCCAGGATTCAATATTAAAATTTCGAATTTTTGGTAGGTATCTCCCAAGGAGAATACACACTCTTAAGGAGTGCTTATCGGACTTGTTTTGGGTAGTTGCCGACATATTGGTGTGAAACCATTTCCGACGTCATCAGCTGTTTAAAAAGCTTACGTCAAGGCGAGAAATAACATGCTACCTACGTCACAACTGGTATTTGGGCGAGGGGGAATTTGTTACTCGTTTGTTACACACAGGCCATATGAGGATAGGCCATCCTGTAGTAGTAGTGTGTATCATCCTTGGGTATCTCCGAGTTTTCCGGACACTGTTCCGAATTCCGGCCGGACTTCCCCGGACACCCTAAAAACCCAAACATGTCCGGGTAAATCCGGACGTATGGAAACCCTAATTTCATCTCAAGTATGTAAGTTATTTTTGTCGTGTGACTAAACAACCAGAGTTTGCTGAAAATTGTTTTCTTTTTTATATCTACTTCTACATATTAAAGCAGCTTTTTTATACCTATTAAAAACTTTTTTTTTTTAAATAAAAACCTAATTTTCATAGTGTGTATACCAGGGTTATTGGTAATTCATGGAGATGTGATAAGGTAGGAGGTAAAAAGTGAATTTAACTGTAACATGATTTATGCAAATCTCAATTTTTTTAAAGATATTTCAAAGCTTTTGTTTGTTTTGAAAACTGACCTAATTGACTTGAAAATTAATTTGAAAAAAATCTTACCGTACATTTTTTCAACTTTAAACATAAGACCATACCATGTTGGACAAGTAACCCAGTAGAGAAATTGAGAAAATTTACGGTAGATTTTTTCCGAATTAATTTTTAAGGCAATTAGGTCTATGTTTTCATGAAAACATAGAAACATTGAAATACAAATGTTTCGGGGCGCCTGCGCCTTTTTCTGGCAGGAGGATAGCCCCCTGCGAGCCGCGGATGGCCTGCCGAGCCTCTACCGGCTCGGCTATCTACCATCGGCCCGTCGTCGGTTATTCCAAGCTTTGCCGAGGCTAAAGGTTGGCTAGCCGACTTTTAGCCACCTTACGGCCTGGCGGACATGCCTTACCTACACGCCGAGCCGGCCGACGTAGGCGGGCCGCACACGGCAGTTCGGCAAATCGCTTTCGTCCCGTTGACGGACCAGCCAGTTCGTGTTTGTTGGGATTCTATGGGACTGGTCCGAACGGACAATGTATCGTTTCTCTGGAAAGCAGGACATATAGGCATGCTGAAGTATATCCATCAGGATTGAGAATTTTGAGTTGATATTGACACTAGAATCGGAAACAAATTCCCATGAAGTTTGGGCTACTACATTATGGAAGTTATGCCAACCTTCCTGGGTTATTGGCCTACATACTTTCCTAGATTGCACAACCACACCCGGATCCCTTGTAACAAAAACCTCAACAAGCTGTCCCATGTGATCTGACATACCAAGGTCCATTATTTGAGCAAGAAGAGTGTTTGTTTTATCATTCACAAAGATGTTATCCAGGCAGTTATTCTGCCTGGTGGGACCATCAATGGTCTGGCTCATACCAAAACTCCCCAAAATGTCACATACCTGCCCAGCATGAACATCCTGGGTTCCAAACCGAACATTAAAGTCGCCTGCTAAAACAATCGGCCTGTCCACTCCCACATGTGCGAGTGTACCATCCAGCGACTCCAGAAAAGTGTCAAAGTGGCCAGTGGGAGGCCTATACAATGCTAAAACAGAAATATTAAAATCTTTTATACAAACACAACAACACTCAAAACATTTTTCCAGATTAAAAGTATTTACAAAGTTCTTATCCTGGTAACTTAAAGATTTAAGGGTAAATATTACACAGCCTCCTCCAGTGGACTCTTCTCTACAATATGAAGCAGCCATATTGTATCCATCAAGCTGTATAGTGCAGATTTCAGAAGATGTAAGCCAATGTTCAGTGACACACAAAACATCAATTCTCTTGTCGCTTACAAATGCTTCTAACTCTAGTAATTTATTCCTTAGAGATCGTATGTTTATGTGTAAAATTGTTAGTCTTTGTTGCTCTTGTTGCTTGGAATTCAATTTTTCACCATCAAATGGCGCTGAACGTTCATAAAATGGTTTATTGTTGCATCTTTTGGCCAAACCATGGGAGACATATATTTGCCCCTTTTTGAGAGTGGAACTGCCAACTTGAAAAAGCTGAACAGTTTCCCTCTCACAGTTTTCATTTTCTCGCAGGTACAGTCTTTGTCCAGGTTCTGACTTCCGAGGTACTCAATTATGTCGCCGCTCTCCGTCTCGGAGGTCAATCCAGAGACAAACAGGAAGGACATTTTTTGGGCGACCTTCAAAGTGGAAGTTGCTTCATTTGAACCTCGCAAGGGTTGGGGACGACTATTTTTATTAATTTTATTCACATTGTAAGTATTGTTATTGTTTTGTTTCCTTCTTCTAACCTCAATCCATTCTTCATCTTTTCTATTTTTGTCATCCGAAAATAATTGATGGGCTGTTGCTACTACATTGTCCGATGCTGGTTCAGGGACGGGCTGCGGTGCTAGAGCCTGATTTACGGCAACACTGACTTGACTCAGCGTAATTTTGTCTGTGTTCGTGTTGGCATTATGATTTTCTTTATTTTTATTCATTTGTTTACCTTTCTCATTCTCCTTGTTGATTTTGACAGCCGTCAGCTGTTTTACCTTAATGTGTTCTTCTTTTTTGTTTTTGTTGGTAGGGTCCACTCTTGAGAAAGAAGGAGAAGAGGTGTTTCGTCAATCAGCGCCAGCTGATTTTGGATCAGCTGATGTCCTTCTCATGACTGTCTCGTTTTGATCTTGGGATGAATGCGATGATGCCAAGCTTAAGTGGGTTTCTTTGGATATTTGCTGATTTAGCCTTATAGTTTCCTGTAGTAAGTCGATTTTTTCACAAATTTGACGTACTTTTTCGTTTAAATCACTCAAAATTGCAGCTTTGCATTGCTGAAGCTCTGTTAAAAAGGCTTTATTAAACCTCTTATGAAACTGTTTTATAACGATTTTATAAAGCTCTTCACATTATTTTGTAAATGCTATTTGCGATTCTAAAACAACTTTAAAACAACAATAATATTTTATAGACCTGGGCCTTTTTCATACTTATAGGCGTCATATAAGCGTTTACAACCCAACTAAGAAATATCGCAGTTATATAAGCAAGATGTTTTATAGCAATGAGCATGTGTGCTCATTACAGGAAGCGCCCTTAATTCTCTTTCCAAAAATGACATAAAAAATCCAGGTCAGTATTTAAAAAAATGAAGTTGATGATGGTATCTCGATGACGAAACGTCGGATTTAAAATTTGAAGATGTCATATTGTAGAGCGAAAAAAATTATAAAACTTTCAAATTTAAATTATGTTCCGAATATCAATAGTTTTCAAAATACTTAATTGACGAAATAATTTTAGGCCTTTTTTATAAATCGCCCTGTATTTCATAAACTAAAAGGACTTTGGCAACACTGTAGACAAGTCTTGAATGAGCATCAAAAAAGGCAACTTTTTTCTAATTTAACCGACCTTGTAGCTCTTACCGTTTCGGATATAGCCATAGTGGTATCACTTAAAATATACACCCTGTATAAAGAATATTTTGGTACAAAAACGAAGTCGATATCTTAATTAGAAGCCGAGAAAACTAGAATTTTTAAAAAAATTGTTTTTAACCCTTTAAAATTAAAATTTTTCAAAATCCTTTCTTAGCACACCTACAAATACGTAACAGAACATATCCTGAAAATTTCATGTCTCTAACTTAAATAGTTTTGGCTGGGCGTTGATAATCAGTCAGGACAAGCTCTTTTATATACAGGGTGTATATTTTAAGTGATACCACTGTGGCTATATCCGAAACGGTAAGAGCTACAAGGTCGGTTAAATTAGAAAAAAGTTGCCTTTTTTGATGCTCATTCAAGACTTATTTACAGTGTTGCCAAAGTCCTTTTAGTTTATGAAATAAAGGGCGATTTATAAAAAAGGCCTAAAATTATTTCCTCAATTATTTTGAAAACAATTGATATTCGAGACACAATTTAAATTTGAAAGTTTTATAATTTTTTTCGCTCTACAACATGGCATCTTCAAATTTTAAATCCGACGTTTCGTGATCGAGCTACGATCATAAACTTATTTTTTTTAAATACGGACCTGTATTTTTTATGTCATTTTTGGAAAGAGAATTAAGGGCACTTCCACAGCCTCCTACACTTAACAAGCCATGAAGTTAAAAAGGCAACACCGCAATCTTACCGCCAAGTGGTGCTGGTGCTGTTTGTTTTTATAAGTATATATTTTTTATTTTGTTAATAATAATGACAAAAAATGCATCATTTATTGTACTAAAGGGTCAAAAACAGTAATTCAAGGAATAATATAACTATATGTATAAATAAGAACAGTAAATAATTGATTTAAATGAATATATTTCTAGATTCTAAAGTGTTATAAGCCTATGTTTCAGTATGTCTTTTGAAAATCTAACTTTTTCTTTCTTCGGGATTTTTTCAGAAGGCAGGTTTATTCAAATACTTGAGCTGATTTCCGAAAATAAGAGGTACTTTTAAGAGTTGGACGTTTTAGTTTGAACTCTCGAATTACTCCTTTATTCTTGTTTGTTTCAAATCTAATTATTTCGGTTTCTTCAAAATGTTCACAACACACTTCAGAGTTTTTCGTTATGGTATAATCTCGCCAATCTCGGGTACAATTATCTTGGTGTATTGCTTTCATCCACAACTTCTGCATTTCAGAATTTTTTTGGAAATAAATGTTTGCATTTCTTCAGGTTTTAAGGAACTCCTAGTTCGATTTGCACCCAGGAACACAGTAGTTTCATGGCATCTGAAAAAAAGTTTAAATATCTTAGGTAATATATCGAGGCCTATGCTCTTGCACAATATTAATATTGTTTTTATTGTTTTAACCTTACATTACCTTCATTTTTGCTGCTGTACCCATTTGCTGAAAATTTGCAATCAAAGCACAAAGGAACAGGTATCAACTAAATATGGGCAATATATCGGTGTGTTTCTATCCATTTTTTCGTCAATAATGCCCACAAAAATACTAAACTGCAACAATATACAATGAACGCAATACACAGAAACAATAACCTCGATAACAAAATAGCACCATACGCGACGTTGCCGTCATTTCCAGCTTCATGGCTTGTAAGTGTAGGGGGCTGTGGCACTTCCTAAAAATGACATAAAAAATTCAGGTCCGTATTTAAAAAAATGAAGTTGATGATGGTATTTCGATCACGAAACATCGGATTTGAAATTTGAAGATGTCATGTTGTAGCGCGAAAAAAATTATAAAACTTTCAAATTTAAATTATGTCTCGAAAATCAATAGTTTTCGAAATAAATGATGAAATATTTATGGACGTTTCTTAGAAATCACCCTGTATTTCATAAACTAAAAGGAATTTGGCAACTCTGTAAACGAGTCTTAAATGGGCATCAAATAGGGCAACTTTTTTCTAATTTAACCGACCCTGTAGCTCTTACCGTTTCGGATATAGCAATAGTGGTATCACTTAAAATATACACCCTGTATAAATACCTAAAAAAAAATTCAAAGTGGAAGGGGCAAAAAAGGTTACACAAAAAATTTCATTACAAATTCATTTAAGCTGTCATAACTTGATAATAAAATAAGATATCGACGCCATTCTTTTTCTGAAATACTTCTGAGATAAATATCTAAAAACTAATTTTTTAGTTTTACGAAATTTGGCTTCAATCGGATTTTAGCTCGCCGAATATGTGAAACATGTCTACACTACACGTAACAACTTCGCTGTTTAAAATTAAATTTTTGCAAAATCCTTTCATAGCAGAACCAACTAGCGACTTAAATACATAAATCCTTTCATGGCACAACCAAAGATATTGGCACAACAACCAACAAGCGTACATACATAATAGACTGTGAGATAGGGGCTGTTTAGTGGAGTAATTTTTTTTTTTGTCTGGCATTTTGAGGGCTGAATGTGGCTACTAAGCTGATGAGAATATGGGTGATTTTAATGCCGACCTCCCGTTCGAAAATTCGCAGAAGAAAAAAAAAATTATTTAGATGTAGATTTTTTTTTAATGATCTCAAATTTTCTGGCTTTTAAGTAAAAGATTGACATTGATAAATAATTCACCCATGAAAAATATCACATGCTTTTCAATAGCTGAAAAATGGGGATAGGTGTTAACTTCCAAGAGAAAAGAAAAGAACCTGCCGCGTTTACTTTTTGTCTGCCAATCGAGAGAATGAAAGGTTGTGTTGTGAAAATAACCCTGAAAAATCGCCAGACGGTAATCACAGTTCGAAATCGAGTTTTCCGGCAAAACATTCTGTGGACATTTCGAACAGGAGGCAGGCATTAAAACCACTTATATTCTCATCAGCTAACTAGCCACATTCATCCCTCAAAATGCCAGACAAAAAAAAAATTACTCCACTAAACCGGCCCTATCTCAGGGTCTATAACATTGCATGTCTAATTGTTACCAGTTAAATCAAAACGCTCTAATACCAGCCTATATTATAAAAACCTTAGACAAGGAAAGAGAGGGGACTCGTAACACAGCAGGTGAAAATGAAGCAGTTTGCCACCAAAAAATGTCTGCTTTTTTCATAACATAACCTAGAAAGCATATTGTTTTTTGCCTGTTAAATGTAATCCCGTAGACTTTTTTTTCTCTGCGGGTTTTGCAGCCATACGCTAGCAATCCACCATTCTGAATATCACAAAAATGTTAGTCTGAAGTAAAATTCACATAGTGGCACCATGAAAAATTGTCGCCATTATTTGGTGGCAAACGGTCACAACCAGCTGCTAGTGCAGGTAAAGGATGTTACGCGTCCTCTCTCTTTCCTTGTCTAAGATAAAAACAGTCTGTGACAGGTGACAGGTACCGGTCGACAAAATCAAAAATGAACTGATTTTCTTGTGTTATTTTTACTTACACGTTGCACGTTATTCAGATTTATTTTAGTAATTAATATTTTGATTATGTTAGACAATTTGAGTTTTTAGTTATTAAGGGACAGAGTTAAACAATCTATAAAGTTCACGTGCTGGTGTTGTGAAACATGGTGGTGGAAAATATTGAGGTAAATGGTAATGTCATACCACATAAAGTCGTTCCGATTCATGGCGATGGCGCCTGCCTCTTTCGGCCTATTTCATATGTAGGTATTATACGGTACTCAAGTGATGTGCACGGAATTGCGAGAAACAATCGTAAGATATGTTGCTGAAAATTGGGGAGAGTACCATATTTATAGTCACGATGCTGGAGGCGATAATCATTCGAGTGTGTCAGAGTATGTCCGGGATATGTCACGTCTGTCAACTTATGGTGGAACTTGTGAATTAATAGCTGCCGCAAATATTTTTCCTTTAGTATTCGAAGTCTATCGAAACAATGTGTTATACGCGAAATTTGGCGGAGAAAATTTGACAGTGGCCAGATTAAGTTTTACTGGCGATCTTCGCGGTGGCCACTTCGACGTATATGAGCCTATACATATATAGATAAATGCTGATTTTGCACACATCGATTATCGTCATTTGCAATAATAAAAGTAGGTTGCTATTAAT